CTTCTGTTTCTATTTCCACACACACGTTTTCCCACTTATTATCATTTCTTAAATAGATTCCCGACCTAATTATCCTAATATTTTCCTTTACCATTACGCATAAGCCCCCACTTCTATTTTCCGTTTCACAATCCTTTCTGATCAAATGCCAGCCCGGAATCCTAAAACTATCCTCCGGTCTTAGCCATGTCTCTACCATCGCCAACACATCCAAACCTTCTACCATTCCCCTAACCTCTTCTCTCTTATTCCTAATACTCCTAGCATTCCATATCCCACACCTCAAACCCCCTGACATCTCCGGTGTCATATCTCAACCTTCCTCACGCTCCTCTCCTTCCCGGTCTTACTCCCATTTCCATCCTTCCCACCTCCAGCAGCAAACCAGACGCATACCCAATCAAGACAAAACAAAACAAACAGAAAAAAATAAAACAAATAACCATTTTCTTGATCCCTCTTTTTTAAAAAACCCCAAACCTTTATATCTTTGTGATTTCTATAACCTAGGTAACATTTTTTCTTTAGGAACATATTTTTAGGACAACTACCTACAGGAAATGCGCCCTTTAGACTCCCCTTGCTCTTACATACTAACTTACTACAACTAAGCGCGATCGCATATAAAATTAATAAATGTATATAGAAAAATATATATATGAATACATAGAAATATCTGAAGTCAAAAAAAAAGGACCATCGCACAGCCCTTGTAACTATATAACCATCTTGAGCATCTCAAGTTAAGACTTGTCTGTCTACCGCTAGTCCTATACCTAACCTTAAAACTAATTGCGCAGACTACAGTCTTTAACACAGTCTTTTTTTCGCTAGCACGCCTTATCTCTAACTCTTTACAGTCTTTGATTTCATTCTTTATTTTAGTCTTAGTCACACTTCTGACTCTCCACTCTAAACTTTTCACTATTTCTAACTTATTTCTTACTTTCACTTTGCTCACTTTAATCTCTTCTATATCACTCCCCTCATTCTTTCCCCTCTTCTTCATTTTTTTTCCTGCTCTTCTTCTGTTCCTGTACTCTTCCTCTCCCCTTCTTCTTTCTCCTTTGACTTTAGTTCCTCCTCCGCAGACTCTCCACTCTCCTTCCTTTCCTTTCCTTTCTCGTTGTCTCCTCCATCTTTATTTCCTTCTGCTGTTGTCCTTCCTCTAACTTCCCTTGTTCTCTTCCAACACTCTCTCAGCATAACTTTCTCAATCATTTCCTCCTCCTTCCTTTTCCTCAATTCCTCCCTTTCTTTTTCTACCCTTCTTCTTAATCTGTCTCTGGTCCTCTGATCTATCTCTATTTCAAAGGGGGGGCTTGTCACCTCATTCCAGTCTTCTTCTGGGTCGGAGTGCACCGTTCTTCTCTCTCTGTACTTCCGCGTTCTCACTATCTCGTGGAACTTCCCTTCGAGGTTTTTCTCTTTTAGCATTTTTATGACTTCTTCCAATATCTCGTCTTCTTTTCTCTTTTCGAGTTCGACGAGCCATTCTCTATTCATCTGCTTTTCTCTTCTTATTCTCCTCCTCTCCTTCTCCATTTCGTCCTTATTGAGAGCCCATTCTAATCTTTCGTATTCACAGTCTCCCTCCGGTTCTTCTCCCACCATTAAATGTGGTAGAGGTATCCTTTTTAATATCTCTATCTTGCCCTCTTTCTTCTTCCCCTCAGTCTTCTTTTTGCAGTCAAGACACAGATATCTGTTGCCCATTACTACTAGATCAGTCTTTTCATTAAGGCATGCAGGCTTTATACCTCTCTTAACCTTTCTCCACCCTTCCTCCTCTTCCTTTCCATTCGTACCCTCCTTTCCGCTCGCATTCTCCTCTCTGTCTCCGCAAGCTCCTTGTCGCCAGTCCTCTTCTTCCTCCTCCGTCCTTTTCTCTTCCGCTCTTCCCTTTACCACCTCGCTAAATGCCTTTCTTCCGTTCTCTGTTTGTGCCTCACCTGCGACCCTTCTATTATTTCTTCCAGGTCTTGTTCTTTTAATATTGTCCAGTTCTCTCTTTTCTTCATTGGTAGTATTGGGAAGTCCCCACTACTCCCCATAAACTCCTCGACTCCCTCAACTCTATCCGGTTTCACGTCTCCCGTGGCACGCGCCACCATCCCCCTAGCAGTATCGAATTCGACGTTTTTATAAGCCATTACCTTTTTAATGGCAGCCTCCCTTTGCCATACCCAGCACTGCCTGGCAAGAGATCCATGTTCACCTCCGCAATTAAGGCACTTAGGCTTCCTGTCACATTCACCGTGCTGTTTATCATCACACATCGCACATCTTTTATGTTCCTCCCTACACTGGGCCTGGTAGTGTCCGAATTTCAAGCAACGGAAGTACTGCTTGACCGGTTCCACATAGGACTCTATTCTAATTCCCACGTGGCCTTGTCCTATCAGTAGGCGCGTGGGTAATACGCCCGCCTTGAAAGTAATCAAAATTGTTCTTAAAGGACTAAACACAACCTTTCTGTCGATGATTCTTCTTTTCGTCATCCTTTCGAGCACGTATTGGCCCTGTCCCGGCATCGCCTCCTCTCTTAGTTCGTCCACCGAGTCCTCCCATTCGTAGATAATTCCCTTTCTGTAGGCCATTCTTCTTGATAAGAATGCTCTCACTCTTCCTTCCGGCCTGCTATATTTTCTTAATAAAGCGTTCGCCTCTTCTCTCTCCCTTGTCACGATTTCTGCCCTGTTAAAACCGACCATTTTAATACTTTTTATCTTAACGCCAGCGCCCTGGGCTACTCTGTATAGATTAATTAAATTATTTCTCTTCGACGCTTTTATTACTCTATCCCTTCTATTATTATTAGTATTGCCTACATGTCTATTTTTTAAAATCATGCACACCACATACTCATCCTTATTTACATCATCATCATATAACTGCATTCCCCATTCTCTACCTCTCCTTGTTGGAGACTTATCATTCACTCTTTCGTTAGCCACGTGTTCGACACCCACGCCATTTTCCCCGCACGCGTTTCTTAACACTAAGTCAGTCTTACTTCTGTCTTTTTCATTATTTTTTGTGCTTTCCCTATCACTATCCTTCTTATCTACTATCTTATTATTACAAGCATTGTCTTTAATACCTATTTTCTCCTGCAACACCTTGTTGTCCTCTTTGTCTTTCTCTATACGCTCACTACTTACACTTCTCGACCTTCTCGCACCACTCTCTAAACTGAAATGGCCGACACTTGTTGCGTCCTTCGCTATTTTACCACGCCACCGCTTCTTCTCTTCCGGCGCTGGCATCTCTGCCATTGCCAACACTGTCACTCCTGCCAACCTATTCTCCTCGTTTTCCTCGCCAACTTCATGTTCCTTCACCTCCTTTATCCTCTTCCTCTCCGTCCCCTCTTCCTCTTCCCGTGAGTCATCTTCCATCTCTCTCTCCCTACTTCTTTTCTTACACTCCTCTATATCCATTCTTTCTTCCTCATTCCTTTCTTTTCTTCTCTCTTGGCTCTCCTCTTCACTTTTCTCTTTAGCTGCTGCAGTTAATACCGCCTCTTCCTCTCCTGACAAGTATTCGAGGACCCAGTCTTTTCTTAAATTTTCCAAGACCTCATTTCCCTTTTTATCCTTTACTGACTTGTCTTCCGTTCTGCCTTCCTCTCCTATTTCCTCCTCTCTCACCTCCTTCTCTATTTCTTCCTCCTCTCTATTCATTATCCTTATACATTTTTTTCTCTTTTCTCTCGCTCTCTCCTTCTTATCCACTCCTCCTTCCCTGTCTTCCCCTCCTCCTTCTATATTTCCCCTGGTTCCAGCACTACCAGGGGAGACCTTACTTCTCATACACTTCCCCTCATCTATTTATTCGCCTCTCAAACCCAAACCCCAATATAAATAATAGTTTCTCAGTGTCTATTTATACACTACGCCTCTCCACCACCACTCAAAAAAAACGCAAATTAAATAAAAAACTCAAATAACAGTAAGCTGACGCACGCGCTTCCTATTCACTCGCCGCCATCTTCTCTCCTTCGGAATCGAAAAGGAACGCGTGAGATTAATAACGAAGACTAGAGTATAAGTCTGTTTAATTGCATTGTATTAATATTGTTAACTAATACATAATAAACAAATATATATCTCAAATCCAAGGAACAAAGGTGTGGATTATTTGTGCAAGAAACGATAACAGGTTATGGGTCCAGGAGGCTTGATTCGAATGGATTAAGAAAATTAAGGTTAACCGCGTGGAGGAAAACGATCTAAGAAATGGCGGTATGTGTTAAGAACTATTTTAACCCTTTCATTACGGGTGCCTATAGGCGGCGGCCGCGCGACGACCTGTGTGTACGGGTGTTATATGTAAATAACTGAATATTCATACAATATACTCATTTTCATGTTTTTCCTATAATACGATGAAACAGTTGTTATGTAGCTCTTAAAAAAGTGTACATACAAGACAATCACAAAGTGGCGTTGAAAAACGTTAGTCCGAATATCGAAGACCACTGATGAGCAAAGTGCACACTTCGCGGCGCGGTGACCCGTTCAGTGGCGTCCCTCCAGCGGAGCGGACTGCCGTAAGGAAAGGGTTAACATTGATCCCTTAGTGGGAGATAATTATCACGCATGGAAATTTAGAGTTGAAACTATAATGATTGAACAAGATGTAAAAGAAATGGTTAATAATGAATATAGAGATATGGATTACGCAATAGTTGAAAAACGGGAAGAAGCAAGGAGAAAGGATAATAAATGTAAATCAATTATTGTTCAAAGCGTAGACAATAGCCAGTTAGAGTTAATCAGAGGAAAGCAGACAGCATATGCTATGTGGGAAAGTCTAAGAGAGGCATATGAGAAAAAGGGCATGCCAGGGCAACTATTTCTGAAAAGGAAGCTAATGACGATGAAACTAAGTGAAAATGAAAACTTGGAGGAATTCATTCTAAAATTTGAAGTGCTGAATCAACTTAAGACATCTGGTGTTGTCTAGTTAAAGAAGAAGTTAAAGAAGAAGTTAAAGAAGAAGATGCCATATGTAATCTGCTCCTCTCTCTAGCAAAGTCATATGAAATGGTGGTGACAGTGTTGGAGAATATGCCAGCAGAGATTCTCACATTCAATTTGGTAAAGTCAAAGTTGAAAGCTGAAGCTGAAAAGAGAACGGGAAGATCAATAAATAACGATAGGGAAGATGTGGAATCTGCTGCTTTCGCAACGAACAGGCATGGAGTCTGTTATGGCTGTGGAGAACATGGACACTTTAAGAGGGACTGTAAGAAGTGGCCATCGGAGGAATCTAAAAGATACGAACAACCTAGAAATCAGAGAGGGCAAAGCAGAGGATATCCAAGAAGAGGGCTAACAAGGAGAGTTAGCCAAGGATATGGCACAAGAGGATCGTACCAAACTCAACTCGCCAGAAATCAGAGAGGGCAAAGCAGAGGTTACCAAGCAGTCAGAAGAGGAAATTATACTGAGAGGAATCAGCAAGCCAGAGAACTGGGAAACAACAATATCTGCTTCATGGGTAATAGTAAAGAAGATAAAATTGTTATAGATGACAAGGAAATCACGTTCTTTGTTGATTCAGGATGTACTGACCATCTGGTAAATAATGACAAATATTTTTCAAAGTTAGTAATTGTAAAAAAACCTATACTAATAGCTATTGCCAAAGATAACCAGTACTTAGAAGCTGTTGGAATAGGAAAGATAGATGTATTAAGTCAAACAGGAAATGGAAAAATAAGATGTACAATCAAGAATGTGTTATATGTACCTACTTTAAGGAGAAACCTTTTGTCAGTTAAAAAGTTGGAGATGTCAAATATAAAAGTAATTTTTGAGAATGGTCAGGTGCGACTTGTGAATAATAAGACTCTGATAGGGTTAGGTCATAGAAATAATCTATGTGAGATTTCGTTTAAGATATTAAGAGATGAATGTTTAAATTCTGAAACTGAAAATGAAGAAGCAACATTATGGTATAGAAGGTATGGTCATATCGGATACTCAAACCTTAGGAAACTGGTGGACGAAAAGATGGTTGAAGGTTTAGGTAACATAAAGGTAAATAGTAGTGAGCTTTGCGAGCCCTGTATAAAAGGTAAGATGACAAGATTCAGTTTTGGCACTAGAACTCAGAGTAAGAGAATTCTGGAAATTGTGCATTCTGATGTACGTGGGCCAATAACACCCATTTCAAATGGTGGGTATAAATATTTTGTAACGTTTATTGATGGGTACTCTAATTTTGTACGTATTTACCTGATTAGAAATAAGACTGAAGTGTTCGATAAGTTTAGGGAAGACGCTCAGATGGCACAAGTAATGTTTAATCAAAGAATTGCTGTTTTGAGGTGTGATAATGGGAGAGAGTATATTTCAGAAAACTTGAAAAATTATTGTAAAGAAAATGGAACTAGAATAAATTATACCATCCCATATACACCTCAGCATAACGGCAAAGCCGAACGATTTATCTGTAGCCTTATTGATCAAGCGAGATTAATGATTAATGATGCGAACATTTCTAGAAAGTTTTGGGATGAAGCGATTAGAACTGCGGCGTATATTGTAAACAGGAATCCCAGTGCAAATCTGTTGGTATGGACGAAGACCAAATGTCAAAAATATGAGTGTCTTCGGTTCAGTGGCATACGTCCATATACCAAAGGAGTTGAGAAGTAAGTTAGACTCGAAAGCAGAAAAATTTATATTGACACCACCGCCGAGTTGGGGTTCCTCAGTCCGGGGGATGGAGCAGTCGCCTTTCGGCAACTCTTCCACCCCAGGCACTGGGTGGCCGGTAGGGGACATTCAGGTTAGGTTACGTTAGGCCTCTCTACTTTTCTCAACCCGGCTTGGGACGGGCTATCGCAGTTGCCCTCATGAAGGGTACACACACCTGTGGGAACGCAGGAGGCCCCTGCTTCATGGGGAAGTTAGGTTTGATTGTAAAAATCCATACCCCTGTGTCTATCACCTACTATCACAGGAATGCTTTGTCAAATCAGTACTAAAAAAGTTAAGAAACATTCACTCCAGGCCCACACACTCCTAATCGCACACTTCTCATATATGCACATCTAGAAAAAAACAAAAACAAAAACATTCACACCTATCACACCACACCAAATTAGGGAATTAATTAGGCCCTAATTAGGGGTTGTCCGTAAACTAGCCGTGCGTCAATAAAATATATACAATACTTAACAGATCTATACACCATTGAGGCGTAGGGTGGCCCTTAGCTATAGAGCTCGATTTTTTTTTCGATTTTTTCATCGTCTCACCCCCTAAAATTGTGACACTTGATGAAAAAATGATAATGTCAAAGTTTCAGCATGATTGGATAACAGGAACCCGTGCCGCAATCGAGTTGAAGTTTTGAAACTTGTACGATTTCAGGTTATCGTCGAATATGTTAGTGATCTTTTATTTTAAAAGAATCAGTGAATATTTTATAATGAAAATATAATTTTTTACACGTGTAATACTAGCGTTTACATACAATTACAACACATACATATTTACATACTTACATACAATACATTTACACACAAATGTAACGTAGCTTTTAAGTTACCGGAGAATGTGGCGGTTCAGCAATTGGGAGCTGTATATAATTTGTACAAAAGTTGGTAAATTTTTCAATAATCTCGATTGTATTAGCACTTATAAACGAATTTTTTTTAAATACTTATAAGCAAAATATTCTTTAATGAAATTTCAGTTATGTCTCATAAATTAGCCTATTATTAAATTGTACGTAGCGTTTAATATATATTCTGTGTTAATGTAGATTTGCTTACATTAGGATAAAAGCTTTTCTAATTCTCAATTACTTGTAATATGTATTGTTTTTCTTCTTCATTTTTGGTCAGCAGATTATTATATTCAGATATAAGTTTAACACCACGTTCAGCGGTATCGTTTACCACTTTCAAATTTCTTGCAATTTCCAAACCTTTTTGATATGAAATATCATTTTTCCATAAGGAAGGGTCTTTTTCTAAGAAATCTGTAGGTATATTGTACCTGTTAAGTCATTTTTTGGATTCAGTAGAAATGAAGCTATCAATATTCATATTTACATAATTTTGTACGTTTTCCGGAAGTATTACAAGTTTCTTTGCTGAATGTTCCTTATTATCATTTCTTAGAGCCTTAATCATTTTCCTTTTTGTGTTCAATGGTATTATTTCATTGAAAAAGGATAATGCCACGTTCTCAGATACAAGGTACCATAAATGGTTAGAAAATTTGCGTATTCCTATTCTAGCAATATTATTATCAATTGTAAAATACAAGTATAGATTTTGTAGGAATTTTAGATCTTGTACTGACGCTCTTACGGGAATTGGTGCATTAATCCAGGCTTGAATGTATAAATTAGCTAAAAGAATACATATATCACTTATCCCTATGATTTCGTTACTATCCAATAACAATTCTTGTCGGAATAAATAAATTTTTAGCACGTAAATTGCTTTAGCCATCCACCTAGCATTATGAAACGCTCCAGGAACATGAAAAGTATTTCCATCGTGGAAGAGATCCACCAAGAAAAATTATCATCAACTCCAAAAGTTCTTTGTAATCATCTCTCGGCTGCTTTTGTCGTAAATGGTACAAGCAAAAATTGATTTTTTCTTCTACATCCTGGAGCCTTCCATAAACATAAGTATTTTGTATACCTGTTTTAAAATTTGATAAATTAATCTTAGGCCAAGCTTTTTGAAATTTTTTAAAAAGCGGTACTTCTTACCTGATCCCTTGATCAGGTAAAACTCGGTAATATTCACAACTGCCGGGAATCTTTTTGTATACCT